TAGTAGTGAAAGAAAAAAAAAGTAGCCACCCCCAAGTGGCCAAATAAAATGAGTGATGGTCTCCTCTGGCTCTACCGCTTTTCCGGCGATGGCTCTATTCTTGTTTCCAGCCGCATAGCCTTGGATGGTGGCGAGCGGAGCCTTTGTGTTTTGTCCTTCCGCCAACGCACTCCCCGCGGAAGAGTAGTCTGGTGGCTGCGGGGCCCCAATGAGTGCCGCCGGGCCAGTTTCCGACGACAGCCTCGTTGGCAGCAAGGCGTCTTTCCAGATCATTTGTTTGTGAGAGTGTGAGCGAGCGTGAGACATGCATCTACGCTCCGGGTGGGGCGGGATGTGGGGCACATCGGCCCCAAACGGTCATCATCACTTTGTTGTGTTACTCCTTTTTGGGGAATGGGATGGAGCGAGGGATGCAGCTAGGCGTATATGAGCGCCGCATCTTTTCTGGGGTTTCTTCCTCGTAGTGTGGATTCCTTCTGTCCGTGTTGTTCTCGCCGTTCTCTCCGTTAGCTGTCGGTGTCCACGCGGCACATTCGTTTGCTTTTTAATTGATAATTATTCTTTGCATGTGCGTGTGCGTGTTTGTGAACTTTCGTCTATCCCGCTCCTCCTCTTACCTGCCTGCACGTTCATGCTGCTCTGTCTCCCTGCACACTTGCCTGCGTGCATGCGGAAGCGTTGTAGAGAGGCCCACACGCAAGGGAAGCACGGGGGCGCGGCGGCGAGGAGGAACTCCATAAAACGTACACACAAGCGGAGGTGTAAAAAAACAACAACAAAGGGGAAGGAGCGACGGCACCCGATGAAGCAGGGGGATGAGAAGAGAAAAGATGAGGGTGGCGGGCGCATTTCGCCTGAGACGGCGCAGTACAGTGTTGTCTCCCTTGAAAGCATTGAGCATCACTATGTGGAGGTGATGAGGGAGCTTGCCATGGAGCCACAGCTCGAGGCGTTTAAGGACGAGTACGAAAAGATCCACCGTCTCCTGCGCAAGAGCAACGATGGCGAGAGGCGGTTGCAGGAAAAGATCAAGGAACTCCAAATGGACCTCGAGGTCCACGGCACCAAGGTGGAGGCCGCGCTAAAACTGTCGCAGGAGGATGAGGAAGTTATTTCGACGCTGCGCAAAGAAATTGAAAAGGCATGGGCTCTTGCCGACAGTGCCCACGCCCGTGAAAAGGACGGACGTGAGCACATCCAGCAGCTACGCAAGCAGGTGGCAGAGCTGGATGCGCTGGTTGAAAGGAGCACACGCAACACGGTGGGTCAGGCGGCATTCCTGCATGAACTCATCGTCTCCAAGAAGCAGCTTGAGAGCGAGCGCGTCGTGGCGCATTCAAAGGTGTCTGGACTTATAGACGAACGGGAGGCGATGCGGAACAACTTAGAGAGAATTCAGAATGAGAATGAGAGTGCGCGAGAAAAGCTGGAGACCACTCTATTCAGCTACCAAACGCTACTTGAAGACCTTGCCGAAATTCGAAGGGTGCGTGAGAGCCTCGAGCAGCAGGTGCGGGAGTGCCGTTCCACCTCAGACCAGCAGATGCTAAAGTTGGAGGAGCGAAAACACGCCGCAGAGGCGCTCTCCACCGAGGAGAGTCGTCTGAAGGTTCTTGCCGCGGGGGAGCGGGATGCCGTGGCGCGAATGGCAAAGCAGCTGGAAGAGCAGCAGCGACGATTTAAGACCGAGGCGGATCGGCTTGCCCTCGTGGAGGCGCAGAACGCGGAGGTGAAGTTAGAGATCCCCAAGCTGAAGACGACTTTGAAGGAGCGGCACGCGGAGGTCGCGCGTCTCGCCACAGCCCTGCGGAAGGTGCGAAGAAGTGCAGAACACCAGCAGGTGAACATGCGTAAGCTGCTGCAGACGCGCGAGGAGCTTGTTCAGAAGGCGGAGACGCTGCATAACACGATCGAGGAGCGACTGGCCGCGCTGGGGTTGGCGGAGAAGGAGTTGCACGTGGAGGAGGCGCGCCTCAAGAAGACGCTGCCTGAGAAGACGGAGTTGATTACGAACAACTCCCGCACCGAGAATGAGCGGGTTGCGATGGAAGGAAACCGGGTGGAGGAAGAAGGAAAGCGGCACAGCTTGGCGCAACAGCTGGACCAGCTCTTGTGCGATAATGAGCTGCTTCGCAAGGCCATCTTTGAGCTGGAGCAAAGTCAGGAAAAGATTGTCGAGCACGGTCAGCAGCTGGCGCTGCAATACCACCAAACACTTGAGCAGACAAGGAAGTATCGCGATAAGGCGCGTGTGTTGCAGCAGCAACTCACTGAAAACGAGAAGCGGGGCAAGGTGCAGCAAGACTTGCTGGACCGCGTCTCGGCGGACCGGGCACGTACGGAAAAGCAGCTTAAGGAGAGCGAAATGGAGTGGTCTGCGCTTAGGCAGCGGTATTTGACGAATGACGAGGAAATCCAGCTGCTGAAGATGCAGCTGATTGCAAAGGAGGGGGCACTGTGTCGTCTGCACATGGTTCGTCGGCAGCTGCAACGCGACATCTCCAACGCTGAGCAGCGGGCAAGCCACTTGAAGGACGATGGTCTTAATGCCCACGCACGCCGTGAGACACTGGAGGCCGAGGCGCAACAGCTGACACAGCTCATTGCGGAGTGTGATGCGGAGAAGAGCAAACATCAGTCCAAATTTGCGGCTCTCGTCAATGAACGCAACGTCCTCGCCACGCAGTTGATCCGCCGCAATGAGGAGTTGCGGCTCCTCTACAGCAAGATCCGCCTGCAGGAATGCAGTCTTGAAAAGGGCGCTAGCGAGTACGATCGCCAAGTCCGGAATGTCGAATCAACCCGAGATGAACTCACGGAACTGCGGTTGCGTTGCCGTCTTGCGCTCGTGCGTCTCCGCTACGCAGAAAAGCTTCAGCGCCGGAAGCAGAGTGTCGAGCGGGAATTGTTTACCGAGCAGCAACGCTGTCGGGCACTCGTGGACGAACTCCAACGTCCAGTTCATGTGCATCGTTGGCGGCGACTGGAGGGAGATGCCCCGGAGGTGCTCGACGGCATCTACAAGGCGCAATCGCTTGAGCGGCAGATTCTGCAGAAGTGTGACATGCTTGCCGAGAAAACAGAACTGCTTGCTAGGCGCACCGCGGAGTACGACGCCATTCGACGCAAGCTTGCCTGCCTGCCGGGTCCGGAGTTAGCTGAGGACTTGAGTCTCTACAACGAGAATTTGGGGCGGCGCAGTGAACAGATTGAGGGGATGAACTCGGAGCTTCGGGAGGTGGAGCAGCACGCGGACGCCCTCACGGAGGAGGTGCGACAGCTGTCCCTGGAGCTGAGCGACGTGAAGCGGCGCTACTTTGGCGCCAAACACAAGAACGATCTGTTGCGTCGGGAGCAGTCCGTGTTTCGTTCAACGTGGGGGGAGTCTTCCGCGGTCGCAAATGTGGCTCTCGCCGCAGCCTCTGCGCGTCAGGGGCAGCAACGGCTAGGCAGAGTTAATGGGGAAGGTGGTCGCGAGGAGGACAACAGCCAGCAGGAGGTGTGGGTGCAGCGTCCGGCCGGAGTACGTCGTCCTTGTCTGTGGTACACGCGAACGCAACTGCGTCGGGAGCGCATGCGGCAGGAGGCTCGCCTTGTTCAGGCGCTTTCCACCGGTGCACCTGCCCCCAATTACCCCCTGCAGTTCCGTCCACAGCAACGGCAGTTTGTTGGTGGCGGTTATGCGCTCACGCGGTGAAGCTCGGCGTGGGAGTTTACCGCGACACATGTACAGGGTGTGTGGATGTGCGAGGGAGGGAAAGAAGGGAAGGAAAGCGAGTGTGAAAAGGGGAATAATGCGCTGAAAAGCACAAAACAACGAAAAAGATACGAACGAAAAAGCTGGCAGAATTCCATCGCCTTCTGTAATATACTGGGAACCAAAATGTTGTGGGGCTCAGAGTCGTACCCTCTCGCCGCATGCACTTGTTTGGAAGAAGAGGTGTAGAAGTTTATGTTCATCTTTGCTTGGCGTTAAAAGTCCGCGCGGGGCGGGGGGAATAGGCGGGAAGTGGGCCTTTCTAACGAAGCAAAGTTGTATGTGTCGCTCAGTCATGTTAAGCTAATGATCCCTTAAACTGCTTTGTCGTTGTTTTCTCTCTGTTGCTATTATGTCTCGTGTTTGGAGCGAAGTGCAGACACATTGATGTGCACCTGACGGGCAGGAGTTGACGAGCGGCAGCCGCAGTGGCGGGGGTGGCAGTTTTCCCTCTCCCTCTCTCCCAAGCCAACGGGATTCATTGACGCAGATCCTGCGGCGCAGCGAGAGAGAAAGAAAGGGAGAGAGGAAGTCTGGGTACTAGTCGCCCAGCCCCGCGCAGACGCAAGCCAAATTGTCGATCATCCACGCCAGACGCTGTAGTTCTTGTTCCCCGAATGAGTGGGGGAAAGTCCGCAGTTGGCGAGGAGGCCACGCGGCTGACGCGGTGGACGCATGGACGAGCAGGGCTTCTGTTGCTGTCGCAGGCAGCACGTCGTCAACGGTGTCGCGTCGGTGGCCCCTCGGAGGCGTTTCCTCCGGGGTCTGACGGAAGTTCTGGGGGAGGGCCAAGGTGGACAAGGGGCGCCTCATGGATTTTTAACCTCTTACGACCGCAGAGCCGCCTTGCATCTCTGACCCTCTGGTAGGCTGACAATAACAGTGGCCAAAGGCCCGCCGAGGCCGCGTGAGGCGTTGGCTGGCGTCGCCTGCCACTAGTTTTTCTGGGGGGAGAGAGAGAGCGAGTTAGCAGTACAGCTTTTAGTGCGAGATGTGCACTTTTGACGTTGCAATTTATCCGATTGTTTTTTTTTTCTCTCTCCTTTTTTTTCCTTTTTATTTATTTCTTTGGCCGCATTGGTTCCCCGAAAGCAAGGCCAGGCGATGCGGAAAGCCCTTGGAGGGGCTGCCGCGGCTGCTGTTACGGGCGGCGGCAGTGGTGTTGTTAGTCGCTGCGCCAGCGGTGACGCTGCCGCCATGTTCGGGGTGTTTCAGAACGTGCACGTAAATCGCTTTCCGGTGCGCGCGGCGATAGACATTGGGACGGGCGGGATGATCTCCATGACGGTTGGACGCGTTGACGCGGCGCACAATGCTGTGCGTGACTTTATTTACCAGACGCAGCTGCCGCTGCACCTCGTGTCCGCCAACGCCGACGCGGCCTCGGGTGCCTCTCTGCATTCCTCGGACGCGTCTGGAACAACACCTCCCGTCTCGTTTGTTCTCAGCGAGGCGACACGAACCGACATTCGAAACAAAATGCGCATGCTGCATGGGGCGTTGCGTCGTGACCAATACGATGGTCTCAGTGAGCGGGCTGCCGTAATCACGTGGCCGCTGTGTCATGCCGCAGACGCCGTGTCCCTGGCGGAAGAGCTGACGCTTGAATTTAAGGTGGACGTCCGCGTGTTGGGGAAGACATTTCAGGTGGGCACTTTAAGCCATAACCCAGAGCCCGCGTTGGGGACCGAAGGAGCGGCGCGGCCTCCTCTGCGACAAGGGGCGAAAAACATTTCTGCCATTCAGGCGAAGCTGAGCAGCGGTGAGGATGACAGCTTGCAGTTACTTATGCAGCAGATTGTTTCTCGGCGGGATAAGCGACGTGGGCGACGCTGCGGCACCGGCGACGAGGAGGAAAATCGCCGCCACACGAATGCCATTGCGGCCTGCGCGGTGCCGCCAAGGCAACAACTGGAGCAGCTGGCGTTCCTTGCACACGCAGCCGTCAGCAAGTGCGTTGCGCCACAGCGAATGCTTGTTCTTGCGGAGGACCGCCATAAGGGTCTCTGTATTCTTGGCGCTGACACGGCCGAGACGGACGAGCTGGACGAGGATGGCGCAAATGCTCTGGTTCCACGCCCTGCGGCGGTGTCAAGTGGTGTGCTGTTACATGTCTTGCCTGTCGATATCTCTGCGGCGCAGCGTCTGTTGCTCACGGCAGTGCAGCGTCGTGCGGATGGGCCTGCAGGCACCGAGGAGCGACGCAGCCCCAACCCTGTGCTTCGTGAAGAGTTGAGGCATCTGCGGCGCCTACTGGAGGAAATGATACGCCCAACCCTACCGGCATGGGTAGAGCAGAAGTCTCGCGCCGGTGGACTCATCTGTGGCTCAGGCTTTAATGGTGGTGTGCTTAACGTCGCTGCCAGGGTGGCACAGCGGACAAATGTTACACTGGAGCACCTTGACACGCACGCGGAGATGCATTACTGCGGCCTCACGGACGTGTTACTGGCGGTAAACTATCCGGACCCAACGACCGTGTTAACAAATGCCGCCATCGCCAGTGCGTTGATGCGTGCACTGGAGACGAACCGTTTTGAGTATTTGCCGGCGGTGGGCATTGCTGCCGCACTATTAGTTGAGCCCTCGCTATGGATGTACGACAGACGTGAGAAGGTGCGGGCGACGCTGCAGAGGAAGAAGTTCTTCAACGGCTCTGTTGCGCAACGCACATTCCGTCGGCCGCACGCTCGTGAAAATCCTGCCGCAGCTCCAGACGCATCATGGCAACTCAACCAATCGTGGAATCCGCTGTCGTACAGGAACAGCACCAGGGGTACATGAAGAGTTGAGCCGGAGGCGGGGAGAAAGGGGAGCGAAACACGCGCGGTTGCTCGCAGGAGGCAGAAGAGGAAGAATAAGCACAGTGACCGCAAAGCAGGTTTGCCCTGGCCAAGTTGTAGCCGTCCCTGGCTTCGCCAGCGTGCTCCACGCCTTCCCCGCCGCCTTGACTCGAATTTGCAGGGTGTGGTGTTGTTGTTCTCTTCCGCCCCCCTCACGCTTCACTTTTGTTTCTTTGTTTTTTGTTGTTGTTCACAGTTGCTGATTATTTTTTTTTACTTTTTTAAGCCGCTCCTTTACTCTCTCTCTCTCTTTCTCTCTCTCTTGCTCTCTTTCTCCCTCTGTTTCTCTTTTCTGTTCTACGCGAAGTTGGTGGCGAGACCACACATGTCCTTTGCCCTGATTGGGGGGGCCTGCTGCTGCTGCTGCTAGGTTTTGTGGGGGTCCTCATTTACCGCCGGCTGACGACGTCAGTTGATGTGGCAGCGCGGGGGCCATTGGCCAGAAAACGCGGCTACGTTGACACTGAGTACGGCGGGGACGAGGACGCGCTGAACGTGGGCGACGCCCAGGCTGGCGCGCAGGAGGTCGCCGCGTTGTTGCGCCGCCGCCACGCACAACGGGCGGAGCGTCGCGGAGACGGTGGCCTAGACGACGAGGCAATGGCGCCGCGTCCAAAGCTGACGCGGCTGCAGAAGAAGAAGCAGGAGAGGGAGCGGGAGCGGGAGGAGCGGCGCGAGGCGCAGGAGGCTGAAGTGCACAGTCGACGCACCAGGCGGGAGGCAGAGAGACGGCGGAAAGAGGACCACGAGCGCGAAGAGGAAGAGCGGCTTATTGCTGAGGAGGAGGCACTTCAGAATCTACGAGATGAGAAGAAGCGACTAGAAGAAGAAGAGTACGCCAAGTGGGTGGACGCCATCGGGTTGGAGGAGCGCGGTGAGCTCGGTGATGAGGAGCATATGCGGCGGGAGACACTCATAGCGTTCTTGCGGGAACGGGCAGTGGAGGTGGACGCCCGTGAGGAGCATCAACAAAAGCAAACGGAGCGGGTCGCACAGCCTTCCCCCACGACGGCCGTGAGAGCAGCGGACGAATCGGCGAGAAACATTTTGGTGCTGGGCGATGTGGCCCGCGAGTACGGTGTCACTGTGGAAGTGTTGGTGAAAGTCATCGAGACATTGCTGGCGGACGGAGTCATCAGCGGGGTGTTTGATGATCGCGGCAAGTTTATCTTTGTGGCCGAGGCGCATTACCTTAAACTGGCTCTCTTCATCCAGCAGCGCGGACGCGTGTCTGTGAAGGAGCTCGTGAGGGAATGCAACCGGGTAGTTCTCTCATGATGTGTGGCAGCGTGGATTCGCGCGTATTCTCTGCCTCCCCGTGCCCCTCTCCTTTATCACTGTTGTTGCTCTATGGTGTTGAGCCTTTCCCAACGTTGAGTGTTCCTTAGAAGCCTGAGCGCTCATCACTTTCCTCTGCCATGCTTTGCTACCGTTTTTTTTTTTGGGGGGGGGGTGCTGCTGCTGCTGCTCCGCTTGCGTGCATGCAGGGGAAGACGATAGACGCGGAAGACAACACTAGCATCATTTGCCACACTTCCTCCAAGTTTGGCTTCGCGGCGGTAGTTCTCGCCTTTGTCGTGGTTGCACGCCAGTTGCGGGGAACTTCGCTCGTTGTGGCCCAACGCGTGTGACGTTCCTCACGCGACAGCGGCGACGCTGTGACGAGGGGCCACGCTTCTTCGCCGCGTGCTCCCGCACGCACGCAGGCTTCCATGTCCACCACCGACGGAAGTAGGCTGAGGGGCATACGCGGGAAAAGTGGCGTTGCAGCCGCCGTCGAGGCCACTGCTGACCAGCGGCTCAAACGCGAGGGACGCACCCAAAGCGGGGCGGAGTTGCACACAACGCAGAATCCGGCGGCATGCTTGAACAGAACCTCAGGGGCGCCGATTCGCAGGCGCGTGAAGACTGGCGAGAAGGGGCCTGCTGGGACTGTTTCGCACGACGGCGCACGTTTCTTCACGCCCAGTAACAAGAAGGGGGGTGAGGCGAAGGAGGGGCAGGCATTGGCGCCTCAAGAGGCGGGATCGCCAGAGCCCTTTGAAAACAGTGACGATGGAATTAACGTGCCCGAAGCTACGCGAAGGGGAGAGGTGGCAGCTCTGCAGGAGCTGCCGCTGCCGTTGCCACAGCCGCTCGCAGAGAAGGCGGCAAATAAAAAGGAAGACAAAGACGTTGATAGAAGAAAAGCTTGTTCTCGTCGTGGGAAAAGTTCCCTGCAAGGGTCTTCTGACAGGCACAGGCGAACCACCGCAGACACGAAATCACCTCGTGGGGGAGGTTCCCGCCCTCCTGCAACGGCCGCGGCTCAGCCTGCTTTGGCTTACTTGCACGTTCCAAGTACTGCGTTCAGCGATAACCCGCGGCGAGCCCCGATGAGGGACGGCCGTAGCCATCCAGGTAATTCCTTTCGGCGTGATTCCTGGCACAACACGCGGCGCGTCGATGCAGTCGATGAAGCAATGATTGTAACTGGATTGCTGAGTTCAAAAAAAGCCTCGCAAAGTGAATTGCGGCCTTCCATAGCTAACGAACTAACGAGCATAAAAAACCATGGAGCTTCAAGCTGCCCTCGTGATTCACTTGACTCGTTGTTCAACCCCAAGCCGCCCAGTCCAATGCTAGTGACACTCCTTGGCTCAGGCGGTTGCCACCGACGGAAGCATATAAAATTGGTGAGTTCTTACATTCTTGGCCCGCTCCTCGGGGAAGGTGTCTTTGGGGTCGTCCGTGACGCCATTGACACTTCCGCTAACGGTGTATTTCCGCCGTGTTTTCAGCGTGTCGCAATCAAGAGCTACAAGTATTGTAGGTCGTCTGCGCCGAGGTCATTTTACGCTTGGGACACTGCGGGGCGCTGCGGTTTCACTGCAGCCTCCTCGCAAGGTGCCGGGAATCCGCCCATTTCCGAAGCTCAACAACGTGAAGGTTTAAAGATGCATCGCATGCTAGAAAGCGAGGTCTGTAACCTACAGCGGTTCCACTGTCGCAATATTATTCGCAGCAAGGATATTTTTACACGTGGTGGGAAAGACTACGTCGTTCTCCCCATCGCCGTTTGCAACCTGGACCAACTGGTGAGGGAGACTGTGCGGTATGAGTTTCGCCAACGACACGGTTTGTCTGGTCCGGGGAACTCCCTACTTCCTGCTTCATCAATGCCGAGAAGCACGCGGCTGGGTAAGAGCGTGGGTTCCGAGATGCTACTTGACGTTGCCTGCTCAAGTTACATGAGCCTAGGTGAGAATGAGTTGAACCTGCTGGGCTCTTCAAACTCTGAGGCCGTTGCCCCCTTTTTCTTCGCCGGCTTCATACGGGGTATCATGTACCAGCTACTACAAGGAGTGGCATACCTGCACAACCAGGGTCTTGCCCATAATGACCTGAAGCCGAAGAATATTCTCATTTTTGCCAACGGAGAGTTGAAAATCTCCGATCTCGCCGGCGTCCTTGGTGAGTACAATGATCAAGGCACACCGATGTATGTGTCTCCCGAGGTCTGCAAGCATTTCTACTGCGCCGGGGACGCAGAGGATGATGCAGACGTGGTTAAGGTCGATGCACTCAAAAACGACATGTGGAGTTGTGGGGCGATTCTGTATTATCTCCTCACGGGGATGCCACTCTGGCGACCTCACCCCGATGTCCGCAATAAGTACCAATTCTACCGCGAGGTTGCCGCACAAACATCTCCCATCAATCTGGACCACGTTCCTGAGCCAAGCGAAGCCGCTGCAGCGACGGCGACGAGTGAGGACCCGTTAGTGCACGCTAACCTGAAACCAGAAGACGGTACGGTGAAGGGGGCCTCACCCTCGAGTCTGCGTCACTTGCTAGGCTGTTTGCTGGAGATTGACCCCGTCGTGCGCCTGTCGGCGAAAGAGGCTACGGAGCACCCGTCTCTACGAGCACTGTCGTTGGGAGGAAATTCTGCCACAGATGCAAGTGACGTGGCACAACGCGAGGTGGCCTCTTGTCTACTAGAAGCACCTCACCTTCAGGTGCTTATTAAGAGGGGCCGGGAGGAGCATCTGCAGTTCGTGGCGGAGTGCTGTAGTATGCTGAGAATTAGTCTACCCAGCGAGATATTCCTTCCAGATACTGAAGAGAGTGAATGTGCGAATGAGCCGTTTGGGAACGCGGATAGTCACCCATCCCCGCCTGCCACTTCCCCTTTATCGAGGGGAACCGTTGACAGGCATCTATTTCCCAGTGAGGCGGACTATCACTACTATCAGAACAAGTTGGGCAAACCTGAATATGACCTGCAGTTTCTTCTTTACTACCCTGCAAAAGTGAACATGTTACGAAGTTATCTGTTAGGTAGGGTGCTCGTGGAGTGCGGCTACCGCAGCGCCAAGGAGGCCGAAGCGCAACTTGCCCAAGATCTATTGCATAATCAACAGAAGCTGATTCTTGCAGAGGGAAAGGCGTTACTGCGAGCGAAGACGGCACAAGTTCCAACCCGTGCAAGCAACCATAAAAACATCGAAAGTGACCACTGCTCTAAATGCTTCTGTGGTCTCATGTAGAATGCGTGTGCGCGGGAATGCCTCTTTCGCCCTGTGTGCCTGTAGGCGTGGGTGCGTGGGTGGGAGTCCTTGAAAGGAGCGAAGGAGCTTCAACACGGTCAAAGCTTGGTGCCATGTGTGCGGTGCTGAGTAAAAACCTTTTTTTTTTTTCGTGTTAAGTTCTTTGTCTCGTGTATCCTCGGCAAATGTATTTGTTGATTGCGCTTCTCAAGACGGTTAGGGATGAAAAGTGCTGCTGGCAACGCGCTGCGCGTGTAAGGTAAAATCCAGTGCGTTGCAACACGACGGTGAGTTAGAACTTGTGTGGGCCACGTTGAGGGGGTCTTTCTACGGTTTTTGGGATGCTCAAAGTAATTTCGTGGGATGTGGGCGCATATTCTGCCCGAATTATTTACTAGTTTACCCTCCCTTAAGTTTGTTTCATTTTCCTTTCTTTTTGTTTGCGAAAACCTTTTAAGAGGCCATTCCTTGGGCTTTGGCTTGAGAGTTGAATGCCGCTGGGCGTGCTTCTGCCTCATTGTTTGGGCGTCGAGGGCGTACTTTCATAATACAACGTAAGCTGCAAAACTTTTATTTCCTCTTTCGCTCCGGCTTGCGCATGCTCTGAAGCTTTTACCCATAGAATTTGAGAAGGATGCGGGAAACCGGTGAGGCGCCAAAGTGGGATGCCGCGGAGGAAGCGGACGCCTTGACGTGCGACCCCCCACGTGATGGGTGTCGCAGCCCGAAAAAAGACGAGGACGGCGGTCGGGAGAAGCGCGCGGCCACCCCGGCGCCAGTGGAGGAACATCGCCAAAGGTTTGCTGATCCCGGGGCGCTCGGATTCCTCACCTACGGCTTCACCACCGTCCTGTACAACCTGAGCAACTCGGGCCTGTGTCCGTTGAACACAACAACGGCAGGAATGGTGATTGCTTATGGTGGCTTTACGCAAATGCTTGCAGGAATCATGGACTTTTTTCGTGGCAACGCGTTTCCCTGCACTATTGCCACAACCTTCGGTGCCTTTTGGATTGCGACGGCGCTGGTGTGGCTTCTGCCGCGTAAGACCGCAGCGACACCCGATGAGTACTTGGTGGAGGCGGATGAGGCGTTTATGGGTGCTTTTTTCTTTCTCTGGGCCGTTTTGACTATTGTCGCATTGGTGTCCTCGTTTCGCCAGCCGCTGGCAATTTCCTTTGTTTTCTTCATGACGCTTCTCTTTTTCACCCTTCAGTCAGCCGCATTTTGGTCGAAGAGCAGCGTTATGAAGCGGGTTGCCGGCTACGAGGGCATCTGCTGCGGCCTTTCCGCCATGTACTGTGGTCTAGCAATGATGTTAAACGAGGCCCACGGAAAGACGCTGCTGCCGATGTTCCCCCACCGCCGTGGACGCATCTACTGGTAGCCCATGGGAGGAAGTGGGGCGTGGGGTGGGGAAAGAAAAGCGATGCGTCAGGGCCTGCACCCGTCGGCCCCCACAGGGCGATTCACTGGGGGGGGGGAGAAGCAGACGCAATAAATTGTCACTTCTTTGAATGAGTAACACGCGAATAACACGAGAAGAAAAAAAAAAGGGGTGGGGGTAAAATGGAGTAAACCTTCAAAATGAATCCTCCGTGTTGGGTGCGGATAAAAAGGAGACAAGTCGAAATGCAGGCTTCCGCTTCGCCGCAGTAGGGCTCGGCGACGAAAAAGAAGCGACCCTGGAGGCGGAGTCTTTGAGTGAGAGGACCACTCAGCGATAGAATTGGGAAAACTGTACTTGAAGCGAACAGGAAAAAAGCAAAAGAAATATATGATAATGTATATATCGTTAATAACTTATTCCTGTATATACTAAAAAGTCATGAAAGGAATATGCGACAACATTGAGTTCAGTGGATGATAGCGCGGCGTATTGCCCTTACTTCTCTCTTTGTGTACCACGCGTTTTTTTTTGTTTTTACGAGGAGACGTTGCAAAGACAGCGCGGGTGCAGTTTCTTGATCGTGCCACTCCACCCCAACCTCTACTTCGGCCACTACCACCAATAACACTCCCCGCGGGGACTGGGTATGGCGGTTGCGGTGCCCCGCCAGCCCAAGCTGTTTATCTCCCAGAGTGACACCTTCCCGCTTTCCTGGGAACCTGGGAGCGGTCCTCCGCCCAGGCGCATGTTCAGCATACTTTGTCAATGCCGTTGTGCGGTGTGGGAGGAGGAGAAACGGTTTCCTATCAGCGTGGAAAAAAGAAAAACAGTGGACTAAGGAAGAGATGCCTTGGTAGGAAGCGAGCAGAAAGGGCGGTGAGCTGCTCCTTCAGCTCGAAGAAGGGTGTGTGTGGGTGGGGAAAGGTGTAAGGTAAACGCGTAATATTGAGGCGTCAACTGCACTTGCTATGGGTTATTGGTGTTTTTTCTCCTTGGATTGCAATAAGCAGATAAGTTTGAAATTATTGTTTTCCCACAGTATATATATATATATATAACTATGCGTGCGTTCCTGTGGTTTTCCTTTGAACTGTGGGGATAAGGGTTCTTGCGCCCTTTTGTTGACGCCGACTAGCACAGTAAAACCAGGCAACATGGAGTTGGGAAGAGCGGTCAGAGGCAACGCCGAAGGAGGTATAGGCAGTTGACTTTTGTCTTGATTTCTCTGTTCTTTTCCCCGGCGTTGAGGCGCGCCCTCAGTGAAACATTTTTTCTACGTTTTTGTTTTTTCTTCAATGCAGACACACCCGCTACGCCGTCGCTGAAGGAAGTGGGGAATACCCGAGTCAGTCAGAAGCCTTGCACGCAAGGAGGAGAATACAGGCCTACAGTGCCCTGGTGCACGTGCGATGAGCAGCTCCACGTTCACCGAGGCCCAAAGTGAGCAGCTTGGCCTTCGGCTCCCCAAGTCGAGGGAGTATGGGGTCAGCCTCGCAAACCAGTTGCTTGCTTCCCTCAACACAACGGAGGAAAAGTCAATGTTTCTGGAGGCCGTCCTTCAAAGTCTCTTAAATTCCCACGAGCTAGCCCTAGTGGAGAAGACTCTTCAGACCAAGAAGCGCGTGAACCCTGCTCCTCAGGGGCTAATTGCATTTGGTATGTCAACCATCCTTGCAAGCGCCCACAATGCTGGCATATTTGAGCTGGGTTCGGTCCTTCCTGCGACGGGCCTGGCAATGGGCGGTGGGATGCAGTTCCTTGTTGGGCTTCTGGAATACTTTAATGGAAATGCCTTCTCTGCAACAGCCTTTATGTGTTATGGCGCCTTTTGGCTTTCTCTAGTGGGCGTATGGCTTCTGCCACAAACTGAGAAAGAAGTGCACATAGTGGAAACGGTCGAAGCATATATGGGCTTATATTTGTTGCTGTGGGGCCTGTTCACCGTATGTATGGCTTCCCTCACCTTTTTTCTCTCGCACCGCATGATGCAGTTTCTCATGTGCTCGCTGGCGCTTATGATTTTTACCCTTTCCACTGGAGACTTTTCCAGAAACAAGACTGTGAAGCAGGTGGGTGGCTATGTGGGGTTTGTTTCTGGGCTGAGTGGGCTTTACATTGCTTTTGCGGAGATCCTTCAAGACAACCTTGGGTACCCCGTTCTCCCCCTCTTTCACGTGAAGCGAGCGTAAAGAGGAACAACCTGGAAATGTTGTGCCTTGTGGGCCCGGCACGCAGCAGGAAGAACGGGAATGGAGGATGCCAAAGGAGATGAGTAAAGCAGTGAGAAATAAATGGATGAGTGGGGAAGGAGCAAAGTTACGATGTGCGGGAAAGACGGAGACATTGCAAGTAGGTTGGGTACGCTAACTATTGCTTTTTTATTTTACTTATTGCTTTGGGAAGGGCTTAAACGAAAAAGCGGCCTTTGGAGTTTTCAAGTTCTTTTATCAGTAATTAATTTGGGACCCCCCCTTTTTTTTTCTTCCGGTTTTCTGAATTGGCGTGAATGCAGTGGAAGGCAAAGTCCAAACGTGCATCCCACGTGAAACCCGATGTGCGCCACTGCCTCGTCGGTGATTGTTTCTCTTTTCTCCCTCTCCCACTCACAATTTCAAAGATTAAAACAAGACCTAAAAATAAATATCTTCGTCGCTGCTTAGCCAAAATAATTTAACTTTTTGGAAGTGATACGGAAGATTAACGCTAATTGTGTTTGAACACAAAACTTTTTAACACACTTAAAAGAAGAAAGACATGGCAAAATTTGCCAAAAGCGCCGATCGTGGAGAAGCTATGGAAAAAAGTCCCGAAAACTCTCTTCGACGTCGCCGGTATTACTTTTACTTGGATGAGGAAGATGCGCCAAGCCTTGAGGCGGGTGAGGCATCCCCACCGCCGCAAACTAAGGTAAAGATGGCTAATCCTGGTCCGCTTGGCTTGCTTGGATTTGGCATGACAACGGTCCTTCTTAACCTACACAACACTGGGCACTACCAACTGACGACAGCGGTGCTTGCAATGGGAATTTTCTACGGTGGGATTGCGCAAGTTGTTGCCGGAATACTGGAATACTTCCGTGGAAACACGTTTGCTTATGTGGCCTTTGCATCGTACGGCAGCTTCTGGCTTTCGTTGGTGGGCGTGTGGCTGTTACCCAACAAAAGCAGGGATGCAGCACAAATACCATTTGCCACGGATCCCTATTTTCTTGGCGTTTACTTGTTACTCTGGGGAATCTTCACTTTTGTCATGTTGATCTGCACACTGCGGACCAATCTTGGCCTCATTACAGTTTTTTTTACGGTGACCATACTTTTCTTGATGTTGGCTGCTGGTAATATGTCGGGCTCGTCCACAACGCTAAAGGTTGCTGGATACGAAGGCATTTTCTGCGGTATCTCAGCGCTTTATTTGGCCTTTGCCGAAATTGTTAATGAGACCTACGGTCGTGAATTGATCCCCATCATCCCCATCGAAAAATTGTTCGCCAAAGAGAAGGAACGATCCGATTCAGCGAACGCCCCCGTTTGATTGGGCTTTGATGAGCAGATAAATTGATGTAGTTGAATGCACTGTAACTCCTGAGTGCTCTTAATTTCCATATATTTTTGTTGTGTGTTTTCTGCAGTTCTCTCTTTTTTTTCATCTTTGGTGTTTCGTGTGATTCCTCTCCCT